TTTATAACCCTTCCGGTGGCTGCTTTCTTGGGAGTATGCAGTTCAGCTTCATCGGTCTTTATGGCCACCTGCTGCCTCCCTTGACAAATCAGGCATCTGACTCAGCCTCAAGGTGTGCACGAGGTCAGGTTCTCTACCAAGGGTCAACTCTCTCCCGCCTTGTCTCCGGAACAAAGAACAGCAGTTGTTTAGAGAAGAGATGTGGAGAGGGCATGGTGGTACCGTGCATGATGACAGCATGCCGTCTTTCAAGACGCCTCATGAAGGACGACACTTCCTCAGATGGGGACCCCATACGCAACTCCAGCTGGTGCCATTACAACCAAGGTGGGGAAGTTCTGGAACCATCAGTCATTCATTACCCCTGGTGGCTGCTGCTCTGGAGTGCCCAACCCCTACAGGCAGCTAATAAAAAACACCTAGAAAACTGCAGGTGGCAAAAGGACTATGTCATTCCTCATCTTCTACCAAAGACGTCCGGGATGAATGAGCTGCAAAAGCTGCCTGTGGCTCGTTGTTTAGGCCACTTTCTGCAGCTGCCTCGCCCCCACAGGGATGGCTGCCACCAGGAACAATAGATCCTTTGAATACTAACTGACAGAATCCAGGCGGGGTGACAAATGGTTAGCCCATGTGGGTGCTACACAGCCTCCTAAGTGAGAGGCCTCCTGTGAACAAGGCTGTCACCCACAACACAATCCCCCAACGAGGCAAGGGTATTAAAGAGAAAACTTCAGCAAGTTAAATTCCCTCCTTGATGAGCAAATAGGTTTCAGTGAAGATGGTGTTGCAATTTCATACCCCAGTATTATAGAATGGAGATTTCAGAATGGCCGCAAACTTGACCTCTTTCCTGATCTTGTGACCTTGGGCCAGTTACTTAAGCTCTCTCAACCCCAGTTTCTTCATCTGTAACTTGGGGGTAATAATAGTACCTACCTTACAGAAGATCGTGAAGCTTAAATGAAATAATAAAAGTAAATTGCTTTGTACAATGCCTGGAACATAATCAACATTCAATCGATGCCAATTGCTATCACTATCGTCATTTGTATCATTGTTACAAGCTACTCCATCACAGGACATAGCAATAGCTACCAAAGACACCCCTTATTGAGACACAATGCTCTAAGCACAGTCTCCGTGCTAGGAAATTTACATGCATTCCTCATTTTATGCTCACTACATCCTTGCTGGGTAGAAAACACACTCAGGAGGTTAAGTGATTTACCCAATGACTTATTGGCATCCAATTAGTTGCTATAAAACTGAAATCACTTCCACCAACTGGTAATAAATGATGACAAATAATTACTCCTTCCACCTAGGTGGCACTTTTTCATTCTGAAGCAGCCTTTTTTGGGGGACTTAGAAACAGTCTGACCCATGTCAGCTGGGATTAGAGCTAGCCTACAAGGAGCCTTAGGCTCACAGCTTGTTCAACCCAAAATGACCCATGGGGGAAAACATCCAATCAGACACCACCGAAGCAACATGGAGTGCCCAACACAACACGGAATAAATACAGCAAGGATGGAGGAGTAGGTCCACTGTTCTCTATATCTCTGGGAAGTACTTTCATGTCTGAGTCACATCTTCTACATTGAACAGAGAAGTCTGATATCCTGTGTTTTGTCTATACCCAAGTGATGCTATGAGCCCAAAGGACTGGCGAACCTTACAGACAGGTTCTTCCATAAGCTGAGGCTCCTACCACCCTTTCCTGCCCTCCCCCTACTCATCACCCCCAGCCCCAAGGAGATGGAGTCTTTCTCACAGCCCACCCAAGGTGGCTGGGTACCCTGAGGTTTTGAGGCTTGGCCATTCTACAGACAGCTCTGCCTAAGGGAGCCTCCAGATATTACCACCAGGGCTAATGAGATGAGGTATCACCGCCCTTCATGGCATAGACTAGCACCAGAGCTAACAGTGACAAATGGGCAGACAGACTCAGCCTGGCAGGGACGCAGCCCCAGGGGCTCCCTTGGCTGGGTTAGCAGGGGAAAAGCTGGCACCAGGGACCAAAGGCAAGGAATTTTCTGAAATTCAGAGAGGCGGAGAAGGGGAACTACTAAAGCAAGGAAGATCTGCTGCCCAGTAGTCCCACCTGGAGTCCCCAAACTAGCATTCTAAGTGAGTCAACAGGTTTGCCTAGGAAGAGCTTAGTGAGTAGGCCTTAAAACCACAGAGATTCTAAGCTCTACACTGGACCGTCATGGAGCACCTACAGTTGGGGTAACTGAGACCCAGATAGAGAAAGGAACTTGCTGCAGTAGAGAGATAGAATGCAGGCTACAGCTGAATCTGGAGTCAAAACATACATGGGCAAAATCATGCACCTTTCTGAGCCTCAGTTTCCTGATCTGTAAAATGGGAATAATAACACCTGCTTCACAGACTATGGTGAATCTTAACTGTGATACTGCAGCTGATGTGCCAGACAGAGACTAAGGTCACTCAGGCTTCTCATCTCCCAGTCTGGAGCCTGACTGCTCCACCACAACAGGCTGCCTCTGTTTTTGTTATTTGTTAGGATCAGTGGAAATGGGACTGGTTCATGGGGTTCCAGTTAATACTTGGGTAACACACTCATTCTCCCACTGAGCCTCAAATGCTATCTTTTTACTTTCTGGGAGATCAGAGGACTGTCTCTTTTCCTACAAGGACCAGGACTGTCCAAGGGCAATTGTGCTTCTCGGGCCTCTCAGTGCTGGGAGCTGCCTTCCATCAAGGACTTTCCATTAAGGACTGCCCACAGGCAAGCAGAAAAGCCCTCCCTCTCAGGGGGAGACCAGAGCAGGGGCAAAAAGTTGGGAGCCATGGTGAATCCTCACAAAACTCTTTAGGGGCAGGAGCCCAAATGTGCAAGTGGTTTTTTAAAGCAGACGGGAGATGTTTTTAGTCTGGCCAAAACTAAAGCGCAGAGCAGTGGTCAACCCTCCAGAGTGGCCATGCTGACATTTGCTTGCAGGATGGCAATACCCAGAGACAGATGGCTGCTGGAGGCAGCCACCCAGCATCAGGCCAAGGTAAATTCCAAGCACTCCTAGGGCTGTGAGGAAGTGGTAGAAGGGGGGTAAACTGCAAGGCATTTAGCCACAGCAGCCCAAAATTAATCATCAGGCCAGAGGCTATAAATGCTATTAGAGAAAAGGAGCTAACAAACACCCTATTGACAGCTACCATTTATTATGCACTTACTGTATGCAGGCACTGTGCAAAGGACTTGGCATGCATAAACTTATCTAATCTTCACAACTATCTATGAAGTGAATCTGTTATTATACCCATTTTACAGATGAGGAAACTGAGGTTGGGAGAGGCTCTTGACTCACTTGAGGTCAGGCACGTTGCTTGGAAGTAGCAGGGCTGCAATTCGAGCCCACGTGTCTCCCTTCAGGGCCCGTGCTCCCAGCCATGACATCTGCCTCTTCCTGTTGTCATTTCACATTTGACACGTCCTCCTCATTCCTTTTCCTCATCCTTGCTCACCAAGCCACTCTCTACCTGCCATACTGGCCCACCCTCATGGAGCATTTCTGGTCTCTCTGACAGTGATTTCTCTGGACAAGATGGCAAACTGGCCTTCTGAAATCATCATGTGTGTCGCAGGTGTTATTTTAGTTTGTTCAACTTAGAGCCTGCACACCTGGGCACTGAGAAAAGGCAGTCTCTGGACTTCTCCTAACTGATGTCCACATGGGTCAGTGACTCCTGACCCTCAGCTGTTACTGCAGTGTCATACCATGCACACCTGGGGACTATAAACCAGGTTCACCACTCAGCACCAGCCAAACCATCTAGCTGGATGTTGGATGCTACATGTTCCTTTTTCCAGGGAAAGAATGAGTAGATTATCAGATTCTCAAAGATTCCATGGCCCCTCTAAAAAAAATGTTTAAGAACCCTACATTTAGAGAAAGGCATCCTGCTGGATATTTGAGGAACTTCATTATCAAATTATGCAAAATGACTAAGATACTCTAGAGTTAGAAAGAATCAGATTCTGATCCTGGCTCGACTAACTGATAGCTTTGTGACTTTGGGCAAGTTCTTTGATGTCTCTGAGTCTCAGTTTCCTCATCTGTGCAATGGAAACAATCCATTTGTCCAATGGATTGTTGCGAGAACTAAATGAGGTCCTGAATGTGGGTGATTAGCATGTACTTGTGCTCAGTCAATACTGCTTATCATTTATGAGAGCAGCAACCCAACATACATAGCCTGAAGCTGCATGAAGGGCCAGCGCTTACTTCTACTGCATGCCAGCAGCCTCTCTTCTCCTGAGCAGCCAGCCAATAAAGGTGCTGTCGGCTGGAGGACTGATTGGGCTTGATTCAGGGGTCTCCCCTCTGACCACGTCTGTGCCTGTTCAGCAAGACGGGTTTTCTGGGCAGAGAAGATTAAACGCCCTGTGAGACCTCAGCCCTTGATTACCAGCAAGTTCCATTTCTGCTCTGAGTAATAACCACTCTGTCTCTAGCAGAAATTTGTGAGAGCAAAATATAAACCACCACAGGCCACGCTCAGCCCAGTTTGAATCCAAATACATCTTTGAGATGTAAAGGTTATATGTGTCGACCTGCGTGGGAACAAAATACAAAATTTAATCAGAGATGCCTTATCCACAGTGACCAAGAAAAACCCCTGCGACCAGGCAGCTGAAAGGCTGTGGGGAGAAGGGAGAGGAAAGGCTGGTGCCTCTTGGAATGCCCAGCATGTTTGCTTTCCTCTGCCATTCCTTCCCACCTACAGGCAAAAGAGCAGGACCTGGGACCAATGACAACAGCCAGTCAATCTCCCCAGTGCCAATTACGTCCCTTTCAAAACCATCCAAACAGGCATGTGTGGTGCAGGCAGGGGATGGGGGCGGGGGTGGAGGGTGGATGGGCCTTGATCAGTGAGCATTTTAAAGCCTTGAGAAAAAGAAAAGAGGGTTTGCACCTGGCGCAGAAGACAGCAGGTGTGTGGCCTGGGGCATCGGGGCGTGGGTGACTTACTTGCAGAGAAGTTGGCCTCGGTGTGGACGGGAGGGGTGGAGGGCAGGAAAGGCGCGTGTCCCACAAAGAAGGAGCGCAGGGAGCGCTCGCACAGTAGCGGGGAGCGCTGCTGGGAAGGAATGTTCTCGCAGCTGCCCACGCTGCTGTGAATCTTGAGGTTCAGGGGTTTGCTCTTCTTCTTGGCTCTGAAAGGGAGACAGAAAAAGAGGAAAAGAAAATATTTCCATAGGTGCACAAAGTGACAGCAGGGAGACCCAGACTTGTGTCCCCAAGAGGGGCCCAAAACCCATGGGGAGAGACTAGAAGAGCCCACAGGCTTTTAGGTAGGAAGAAAGAAGCTGGGCAAGCGGGTTCACCCTCTCACCCCCAGGCCTTTCTAAAAATCCATTCTACCATGGAGCACAAGCAGACAGATCGGCCATACCTTATCCTCCAGCTTCCCGAGGAAGCTCTAAAAAGCTAGGGTCAAGTTCAGCTCCCAACTCCAACCCCCAACTTTTGCCTTCACGCCCTAAATTCCCAGGGTCCCAAGCCCCAACCCGTGGTCAGGCTGACCTCAAGCGGTTCTAGGAGATCTGTGTCAAGGTGGCATTCACCTCTACCTGTTTTTAGTCCCCAAATTCACTGCCTTTCATCCATATAAAAACAACCAACCCATTTGTGTAGAAGTAAAACCTGACAACTTTCAAGAGATCCAAGAAGACCAAGCCTTTGGCAGAATCCCAGCACCCCTTCTGGAAATGTTTCCTCCTTGTCAGGACTTCTGGTGCTAGTCTTTTCTTTGGAACCCACCCACAGCCATGTCTGGTTCTTGGTCCAATCCTTACCAGGAGCCCCAGATGGTGCCCACCTTAAGAGTGCAGAAGGAAGGGTGATCCCCCAGATCATAGACTGGATCACATGGGGTGCCTCAGGGCCAGCTGCAAGAGGTGTGGAGGAATTGTGTAGAGAAGGGGATCTGCCTCCTCCCTCAGCCCCACTCCCACCATAGCAGCACTGCTTGGGGTGGGAGTGGGGGGCTTGTAGCCTGGGGGATAACATGATTCTGGGGCCACATTCTCCAGATTCAAATACCATAAAAGAGTCTTCTTTGTAGAGTTGTGGAGAGTATCATATAAAATAATCCCCATAAATTACTTAATACAAAGTATAAACATTCATTGTTCTTACTATTATTTAATGGGAATCTGTCTGATAGTTCCTTTAGGAGAAATAATCTGCAGGTAAAACAAAGTGGAAACTTCTGGTAAGTTTGGTTCTGTTCTTGGGGACTCTTCTCAACCCAAGAAATTAAATGGTGTTCTTTGCATACCCTGTGCCTAGCAAAGTGACTCACATATAGCAAGAACATAAATATTTGTTGAATGATCACAAAGTGGCAAAGGGAAGAAGGTAAAGAGCTCACAGCCTTTGATTCATAGCTGGCCCTGAATACGTTGCAGAGAAGCGGGAAGGATGATGTCTGACCTCAACCCTGTACCCAGGTGCTGGTCCTGCCCCCACCCCTCAGCGTGGTGAGCATTTGCCTTCTGACTATGGCAGGTGCATTCATGGCAAAACACGGTGCAAAAAGGTGAGGGACCTGCCCCTACAAGGAATTGTAAGTGTAAGGAAATTTATCGGTAACTCACTGAAAAAGGTAATGCTGTGATATTTAAATAATTAATAGAAATGTGTTATCGGTGCTAGTATCCAATCAGAATTAAGTTTATGACACAATTTGATCTTATCAAAAAGAAGTACAATGTATATTGAATGTGGAGAATAACCATGCCAGCAGGAACATATCTGTCACATGCCTGGTGTTCCTTAGTCTGGAGCTACCCTGTCCAATCACAGAGCCACTCATCATATGAGCGATTGAATTGTGGCTAGTTTGATTGTAATGGGATTAGTATGAAAAAATAATGTAAAATACCTTACTAATAATATTTTGTATGCATGAAATGTTGAGTTAAATAAATATATTATTAAAAAATTTTTTTAATTAAAAAAAATATGAGGGGCTTAGCAATTATCCACGGTTCAATGCTGACATAAAAATACCAGGGTTTTCTAGATTCTTTTTGAATTATTTTTCTGGCCAACTTCCTTGCAAATAGATAATTATAAGGTGAAGTCTCTCAATTTCCTCATACTGAGACAGGGATGAGGAAGAGATACTAAAAGTTGAAGGATTCCAGCCAGGTGTGGACTGGGCTTTGATCTGAAACTAAGAAAATGCATCTTTGAAATTATAAGCCTAAAACACAGACTTTTTAAATTTTCATACCAAACAGGAGGTTCAATCATAATATTAATATTAATAACAACAACAACAACAGCTACTGTTACTGCTGCTTTGATGTGAGTCCCGACCATGTCCCAGGGACTGTATCAGGTGCTTTTCGTGTACAATTTCATTTAAGTGTCACAATGACCTCAGGCGGAAGATGCTGTTATTATCCTTTTTCTGCTGATGAGGACACAGAAGCAACGCAAAGAGAAGGGGCGTGGCAAAGGTGGTACCAGCGTTGGAACCAAGTGGTGTGGCTCCAGGGTCCCCCTCTCAATTGCACTCACACCAGATTCCCCACCCCCACCCCCGCCCCCTCAATCCTGACCCCAGACCACTGTCCACCCAGAAGCCAGCTGTCCCAAGGAGATTGATTTGGGACATGCTCAGGCTGGAGGCACTGGAGTGGCCAATAACTGAGCCCAGGATCTTCACTTTAGTTTCATCCACCTCTTCTCTTGGGTCCTTTCACCAGAACCACCCACAAACCCCATACGTATATCTCCATTTGCTCTGAGCCCTCTTGCTTTGGAGTGACTAAAGAGAAAAATGTAATAGAGGACAGAGGTGAGGCAGGGAACCTAGACAATCCCCACTGGCCGATCCCCAGGAATAGCAAAACTTCCCCTTACAGAATGTTTCCACGGTCTCTCTGCCTTTGCTGCCTGGAGAACTACACATACTTCATGGTCCACTTCAAATGTCACCACATCTTCAATTTAACATCTCCCTCCCCTCACTCTCTGAGTATCTGTTCTTCCATCACATGCTGGATAAGACCCAATCTCCTTAACATGGTACCCAATATCCACCCCCCACAGCTTGACCCGGCCCTGCAGCCCTCCCACCCTTTGCTATGCTGTCTCCACTGCCTGGAATATCCCGCTCTTCTTTGCCCAGTTAATCCCTACTTGTCTTTCATGACTCTGGTGTTCTTCCTCTAGGAAGGCTTCCCTGACACTCTCTCTTACCTCCTAGTCCGGATTGGCTGTCCCTTCTCAGTTTTCCATATATATATGGCTGCAGTTTCCTATTTCTTCCAAGTTTGTTTTTCCAAATTTGTGGTCTCCCAAGTAGACTGTGAGTCTTGGAGGGCAATAACTCTGTACTGTTTATTTATTTATTTTTTGTCCTTGACAACTAGCACATAGCCTGGTTCATAGTAGGTACTCATTAGGTGCTTATTAGAGGAACATTCTGGATTAAGACTCTGGCACGTGTCACATTATATTCTGATTCTTTGTCTTCCACACTCAACTATAGGATCCTTGAAGACAGGAACCACGTAGTTTCATGTTGGATCCCTCAGCCCCAGCTTGGCACCCGTTGAATGAAATGAACCTCTTAAACTGAGTTAGAAACATTTCTCTGCTTCCCAAGGAGCTGGACTAGAATGCTTGGTTTAAGTCTGCATCCCAAACCAATCTCCCTGCTCCTCCTACCCACCTCCCCCAAACACCCATCCAGTCTGGCCAGCAGTTGGGTGCCCTCCTGTGGCCAAAGTGAAGCCTCCTGGCAAATGTTCACAGTCCTGGATGGAGAACCCAGGAAAGTGTGTTAATTTAAGACTGGAGGCCTTCCCCACACACAGCCTAAAAGTCACGCCCTCCAGGAAGCCTGCTGCTCATCAGCTTTCAGGGGTCCCAGGGTGCCTGCACAGTTGCCCCCCACAACACTGGGGCTGCCGGCACTGCTTGTTATCTCCCCAGGGGCCAGCAGCGAGGACCAGAAAGGTGCTTCCTGTTATGGCAGCACACACTGACTGGCTCTTCCCTGCCTGTGGTTGGAGAAGAGAGGGAAGGGAGGAGGGAAGTGGCATTTCATTCCACCCAGTGCCCAATGGCGGAGACTCAAAACAGCTTCTACCCCGAGGCAGTGTAGCTCAGTGGTTAAACTCACACGCCTTGGGGTCAAGGAGACCAGGACTCAAGTCCTGACTGTGACCTTGAGAAAGTGATCTCTCCCATTGAGCCTCGATTTCCTCATCTGGACAAAGGAAAAATACTAACATCTATCTCAGAAGGCTTTCATGAGAATGTGATGAGATGACATGCTAGGCACGGGGCCCATCACAGAGTGAGGCTTCAGGTGACATTACCTGTTATTAAGGTCATTATGACCAGGTTAAATCTGAGGTCTGTATAGCTATGGAAATAGCCTTGAAGAAGATAAAAATCGAAGACAATCTCAACTGAAATTTGAAGGTGATTTTCATCTGAAACATCCAGCAACTCCCTCAACCCAGCACAAACCTTGAGGACGCAGCCAAACCCTCTGGTAACAGATACCGTCATCATCTCCACAACCCTGATGGCAGCCTTGAGGCCCTGAGTCCCCATGTGACAAGGCCAGATCCCCTGGCAAGAAGGACCAAGTCTGACCCAGCACAGGTTTAGCAGTGACTCAGTGACTTCAGAGTCTATCTGTTTCACCAGCTCATGGAGACAGATGGAGCAGAGAATGGGGTACATGTAAAGAAATGCTAGTTAGATGAATGGTTAACCAGATGGATGGAAGGATGGAAGGAGGGTGAAAAGTGTCAGGATGTAATGAATGAAGGACAGAGAGGATGGGAGCGTGGAAAGAGGAATGGAAGGAAGGGAGAGAGGAAGATGAAAGGAAGGGAGGACAGATGGACAGAATGAAAGAGAGAGAGACTGGGAAGGTGGCACGATGAATGAAAGAATGGAGGAGAATGGGAGGATGAACGAGAGGATGGATGGAAGAAAGGAAGGAAGGAAGGATAGAGGAATGGATGGATAGATGTAATTAAGGAAGACAGAGTGGTAGGATGGAAAGGTAGACAGAAGGAAGGGAAGAAGAAAGGACAGGAGGAAAAGAAAGTGGTAGGATAAATGGCTATTCGACCAGAGTAGGGTGGAAGAAAATCCTGTATCACTTCCCATCCAC